CTTCGGGTCTGCCCAGGACGCACGGGAGAAACAGGCTTTCAGGGGGAAAGCGCTTCAGAGCCAAGCGTGGTGGCTCACAGTAACCAAGGGCCACCTGGGCCCGTCGCCCGGGAGGGTCCGGCGTACAGACCAGACCCCGTGCTCTCCAAGGCGGAGGGCGGTAGGGCCCTGCCCACGACATGGGAGCTGCCCTGTGAGCAGAGCCGCAAGAGAACCCTGGCTGAGAGGGCGGCCGTCTTCCAGCAGCTGGGACGGAGAGGAGCCCAGTGCCGAGGGACGGGCAGGCTGCCGGCCCCGCAGGCCCCTGTGGCTTCGGGAGCACCCTGTCCCACCAGGCCATACCTTTCCTCTTCTCGGCGCTGATGTGGGCCAGGTTGAAGATGGTGAGGAACCTCTTCTTCTCCTCGAAGTTGGGGCTGTTGTTCATCTCATCGGGGCTGTAGCGGGTGGACAGGGCCAGCCTGGGTGAAGGTGTCCGTCGCTTACTCTGCACCGTCGGGGGCGACGGGCTTCTCTCTCTCAGCATCCGCCGCCGCTTCCTCCGCTTCTGGGCCACCAGCTCCTCCTTCTGCTGTTGGGTGGTCAAGCCAAAAAGTTGCAAAAACTCTAGCTTCTAGATCAGAAAAGAGAACAAAGGAGTTTGAAACCACCACGAGTGTGCGCTGTCCTGGGGCCCTCCTGGGGTCCTCGAAGTCTGTGCGCGCAGCCATCTCTGTGCCAGGCGGTGGGGAGCTCGGGTGGGTTGAGGTGGCTGTGGACAGACTGTGGCGGGAGCTCTGACAGAGCCCCGCGAGGGTGTGATGGACTCGGGGTGCAAGAGCAGGGGGCAGGGCCAGACGTGGGGCCGAAGCCCAACCCCTAGCGCGTGGCGGTGAGGCGCCGATACCTCTGAAGATGTGTCCAGCTTGAGGGGCGGCTGCTCGGCCACGCAGCGGAGGTGGGCCCGGACCTCCTCCTCGTCACTCTCGTCGTAGGAGTCGTCGAGGTCGTAGTAGTACCCTGATGGCAGAGGGGTCATGTTGAGCCCGGTCAGAGACCTGGGCTCTCCAGCAGACGCCAGCTCGGGGACCGCCTGTGCTACGCACCCTGAAATCTGCACTAGCCCGAACCCTCGGGCTGTCCATTGGTGGCAGGAGCCAGGCTTCCCCAGGCCCCCGGTCCTTGGCCTGAGTCCAACCCGCCTTCCTCCGCAGGGACCATTCAACGCGTAGGCTGGGGCCACGTCCCCAGCTACAGGAAGCTGCTGTGGCCACCTGGGCCCATACGTGGCAGGGCCAGGCAGACAGGCCCCATTGCCTCAAAGGCAGACACCAGCAGAGCCCTGCCCTCCCCATGAGGCCAGTGGGGAAGAGCCCTGGCTGGGCCCTGGGCCTGGTGGAGACCAGCCACCCTGGAAGCCTCACCTCTACCCTGGCTCCTGGCTGAGCGCAGTGTGGGCAGAACCGGATCCCAGGGAAGCCCTCAGTGTCTGCCGAAGGCCTGGGCCCTGCCCTTTCAGCTCACCAGCATGGCAAGCCTGACCCCTGCCCCGCCCCGGGTGGTGCCGGATGGGGCCAGCTGCTGCCCTCTACTCCCCGGCCACCGAGGGCGGCTCCACACGCGGAGGCCCTGCTGGGGGGCACTGTGCTGCCGCTGTTCCCCCACGCCGCATTATCAATATTTAAAGCCATCTTATCAGCCTCTGCTCATCACTTATTAATCACGCGTGTCTGCAGGACCGTCGTCAGACAGGCTTTGATTTGGCTTTTCCAGACAGTCTGCGTCGCGGTAGGGTGCGTGGGGGCCCGGTCCACTCTTGGCACTGCGGTCAGGTCCCTGTGCAGAGGCCAGGGACCTACCACCTGGGAGGGGCCTCTGAAAATCCTGGCAGCAGGTGCAAGCATGGGGGAGAGGGTGAACCGTGGCATTCCAGCCCCTTGTCCCTGCTAAGCTCCTGTCCCTAGTGGGTCGGGGCTTCCCGGGAGGCCAGACCTTTCTCCTGGGCCTCTCGCCGCCTGCGCTCCTCCAGGTCCAGCTTGCTGACGAGCCTCCGCCGCTGCTGCAGGAACTCATCGTAGACGTAGGCGGAGTCAGGGGCCCGCGGTGCCTGGTGCCGGCAGGGCGAGCTGGGCTTCAGGGGCCCACTGAGCTCCCCAAAGGGGGCTGCCTGTGGGAGGGAGGCCCGTTGCTGGCCCAGGACAGTCTGTGTGGACTTCTCCAGCTCAGCCAGGAAGGGCCCGGGCCCATGGGGGAAGGCCTGGTGCTCCAGGCTCCCCGCCTCCCGTGGCGGTGCGTACTTGTCCAGGGGCACGGCCTCGCGCTTCCGGGGCCCCTCGTCCGCCTTCTCAGGGCAGTAGACCCGCTCCACCTTCACCAGCGGCACGGCGGCCTGCCGGCCTGGCTCAAACGTGGCTGGGTGGGTTTGCAGGGGGTGGCTCTCGGCCCGCCGCGTCTCCAGGGTGCTGTCCATCAGGGACACCGGGTTCCAGAGGGCTGTGGGCACAGTGTGATGCTGGGGCTTGGGTGAGATGAGAGGCGGGGGGGCAGCGGGTCCCGGCTGCCTGCCTCGTGCCGGTTCGGTCCAGGCCTAGGGAGTGAGTAGACCGACCTGTCAGTCGGGGAGAGCAGAACCGCCAACAGCCCGGGCTCCCCGGCTGCCCGCCCCTCAGACGGCCACACAGGCCCCTCAGAGAGTCAGGCTGGGTGCTCCTGACACGGGATGCGGGTGGCCCACTCCATCTTGGGCCAGGCCAGCTCTGCCCTCTAGGGGCTTCCACCTGCTCCTGGGAGCTCCCAGGGAAGGCCCTCGTCCATGTCTCCCACGTGCCCGGTGCTGGCACACCCGACGGGCTCTTGTCCAGCCCAGCGAGGGTGGGGTGGTGCCACTGTGGTCGCCGTGTCCCTCCACAAATACGGTGACCGCACGTGGCTGCAGCTGAGGCCCCAGCAGCAGCGACACCCAGGGGCCCCAACTGGCAAGGAAAGGACCGAGGGGTCCCCACCAGGGCCGCGCGCTACATGGAGGCTTTGCCTCAGGGCCGGTCTGGTGTATTTTGCACCGAGGGGCTAGTGTGGGTGTTGTTTCCAAAGCCTATCATTTGTGAAAGTAATTTTAAAGAAGACAAAGCTACAGGCTGCTTGGACTCACGCTGCCCAGTGGCCCAGAGCAAAGTCGGAGGAGGAAGGGGAGGCCCTGCACTCGGGCTCCCCCTGCCTGGCCAGGACGAGGGGAAGAGGGCTGCTTAGACACAGCTGCCGAGGCTGCTCTTCACTGTGCAGGCGCTGGACTATGGACCAGGCTGTGCCTGAGCAGGACAGGACTGTCCTCCGTCCCTGGCAGAGGAGTGCAGCCATCAGCAGATCGCACACCCGTGCCACGCTGCGCACGGGGTCTAGCCTGGAACACGGCCCCTCGGAGCGTGGAGCCCACGGTGCCGCTGGCACAGGAGTGCAGCCGCCAGTATGGCAGGCTGGAGCCTGCCCGGCCCACCCCGGGCGCACCCGGC